GACCTATATTATGTAGGAGCTTTACATTTCGAACATAACGTAACATTCTGAATATCAATTAACCTATGCAAAAAAAATTGAAGTGGGCGTGGCACATTCAGGTTAAATTACTCATTATTGACATTTTTGGCCAGGGGCATAACTCGCAAAGTATACATTTGTTCAAAATGGAACTTTGCATACAATTACCTCATATATTGAGCCACTTTGTCTTAGAATTTCAATTGTTTTTGCTTCATAGTTCAAAAAAAGGAACAGGTTTTGGAAATTCAAACTTTTCAATTTTTGACCTTGACCTTTGTTGACCTTGACCTTTCTAACATCAAACGTCATTGGCATTGGCTATCTATTTATACTTTTGTATTTGCTGTCTTATGTCAACTTCCGGTTTTATAGTCGTGTGCAATTAGAAATTTTGATGGCGTATATCTCTTGATCTTGACCTTTTTAGACCTTCTCCTTTACAAGATCAAAGGTCATTGACCTTGGCTATCTGCTGATACTTTCATTTGTGAGGTCTGACGTCCACTTCCGGTATTACAATCTTCTAAAAAATGAAAATTTCTCAACTTTTGACCGTTCTTGCGCTTGATCTAATTATCGTGGAAGGTTGATTTTTTCGGGTTCTTTTGCATTTTGCTACATTTGCAAAGTCCCACTCTGTGCCACGAGTGGCTCTAGTTTTTTTTATAATGGAAATTGGTATAAGTTTTGACTGTTTTTCCAGGATCCCCTTTGGCTCCACCACTGTGTATAACATTGTATATGTCTCTGCCTTGAACTTGAAATAGAAGCATGAATTATTTTATTTATTTGTAGGAAAGTTATTATTGATGTTACAGTCTGTTAAAAGAGGTTATCAACTCAACAAAGATGATCCTCATTTTCATGTTTGTTTTATCAAATTCTTACTACATGGTAAGTACCAGTATACAGCAGCACATTAACTACTAATTAGTTCTTATACTATCATCCAATAATTCTATAATAACAGATTGAACTGCACTTATATGTCTAGAGGTTTTCATCAGTTTCACCACTTTTCACCAGTGTGAATAGCCTTGAGATTGATTTGTAATCTAAGAAACACTTAAATGCGGTCTGACATTTTTTTACATTCTATTCTGTTTACTTTTGTTTACCAACGTATTATTCATATGTAAACCTATGTAGGTTAAAGGTCATATGGCAAATGGCTCTCAATTTACTCTGTCAAGTACAGCATGTATTCTATTATCATGCTATTCCAAAACCATATTTGAATATGTTTAATTATTTCTTCAGTTAAAGGTGTAAAAGATTTAGATGGTGGTGTTAAAACTGTGATAGAACAAGAAGTTAATAAATTAACAGAGAATAAACCAATTAATAAAATTAATCAAGAATTCCTTGACAGAAATAGTTCATCTCTACCACACTATTTTGCTGGTAAGTAGGAATGGAGAGAAGACTTTTAATGTTAAATGTCATTTGATGGCAGCACAGTTATGACAGATATCATCGTATCACGAATATGGGTTTTGACATGGTCTTATTAACTCGTTTTAAACTAAGCCCACTTTACTTTTTTTGGGGGGCCTGGAAATGAGATTGATGGCATTTAAATCGGACCCATCAGATCGGTAGGACAGAAATGTGGTCATGTATACAAAACACAACACTGCTTTGTCGCTGCCAGATTGAA